TGTGTTCCTGGCGGGCTTATGGCACCGCCACTGGTCAACGTGGTTTTCATGCAAAAACGTGCTTAATTGTCCCAACTGTCCCGAGGAAACAGAGGCACCACTGGGATTCGAACCCCCTTTGCAGGTAAGAGGAGTCTGCCTGTGACCCAGCCCAGTTCACCTGGGACCGCCCTGGGGCTGGAGGCCCAAGTCTCACTGTGACCAAGAAGGGCGTGTGAAAGAAAGGGGCCACATGCTGACCTGACAAGCTCAGGAGAGGCCTGCATGGCAGTTTTGCAGACCTAAAGTAACCACACAGGATGGTCTGAAATTAAACCTTAACTAAAAGCAGTTATGGTGGGCAGTTACGTCCTAAGCCGATATCTTCACTGACAAGGTCAACCTTTACCGTAAGTGAGCCTATCTGTCTTTTTGCATCTATGATAACATGTCCCTGGGATGTCTGGGTAACTTGTGACTTCCCTTTTTCTGGAGCCCCTGGGGACACAACCAGGTGTGCTGGGTCCCAGGACAGATGCCACAGATTCCTTCATCATCATGTTAATTGTTCCTGCACCCACCTAAGTATGTGTCCATCATTTTACTTTTTATCCTATCACAGAGGTTTCCCCACTTCGCTTAATCCCAGCTCCTTAAATGTGTCACCAATGAATTTCATGTATAAATACGGATGTAACCCTGCCATTCTCCGGAGCACTATCTCGATTCCTTGAGGTTCTGCTTCCCGGCATATGTCGACAGTTTGGCTCAAATAAACTCACAAAAATTCTTTACAGGTTTCAATGGTTTTTTACGTTAACAGGCGCTTGACTCCAAGCCTCAGCTTTCTCATCTATAGAATGGGAACGGCAGCTCAGGGTGGCTGAGAGGGTGAAATGAGATCAGGTAGCGAAGTGTCTGGCACCGAGCTGGGGGCTCAGTTGGTGGAAGCCTGCCCTCAGCTCAAGGGGTTGCCTTGGAGACCGTGGGAGGGAGCAAATGAAGCCAGGAGACACCCGGAGGTGGGGGGCCTCTCCCCGCTGTGTCTACATCCAGGCCAGTGGCTCCTGCTGTTTCTAATCCAGCCAGTTCCCCCCATGGGAGCCTGTCCACGGGCTCCGTGTTCGCCAGCTCAGACGTTGCCCAGGTGTGACATGCAGAGGCTGTGTGGCTCCTGGAGCTCCCGGTGGGCGAGAGTGGGCACCGAGAGGGTGTGCGGGCGCCCGCCTGGAAAGGACGGGGGCTGTGCTAGGCCTGGGGTCCACTCGGCTTCTGCTGGAAGCCCCTGGACCCACGGGGGTCTGTCCAGAAAGAAGACAAAAGCAGAAGGAGAGGAAGGGACAGGCTCACCCAGTTGCGGACAGAGGAAGGCGGGTGCGCGTCCCAACAGCCACGAGGCACCGGGGCCAGAGGAAGGATTCTCAAGGGCACCCAGCCCTGCCACGCATCACCTGACTGGCCCTGAGCACAGCGCTCCCCTCCCCCTCCCCCCTGGGAATCTGTCAAAGGGGTGATAACACCTGCTCTTCCCAGGGGAGCAGGGAGGGCCCGAGGGGAGCGGGCCAGCAAACGGCAAGGGGAGCTGGGACTCAGGCCCAGAACCCCCTCTCTCGACGCTTTCCGCCTCTCTAGGAAGATCAAAGCCATTTCCTAAGGTGTCCTCCAGCCCCTGCCTCCCAGCCTCACCAGCTCCGGTCCCTCCGGACCAGGGCCAGCCCCTCCCCCTCCCCGCATCCCCTGGGACCTTGGTCCGTGTACCCGCCCTCCTTCTCCACCGACCCCTCTTCTGGCTCTTTCCCACCAGCTCATAAATGTCTCCTTTATCACAAAGCGCACACACAGATCGAGCAGAACAAGCAAGAAAACATGTTCTTTAAACACACAGGCAGCAGCACAAATCAACGCCGAACCAGAACCTGGGAGAAGTCGGCCAGAGAGACAAGAGGCAAGGAGCTCACCGATGAGCCCAAACAAGGGACTCGTAAACACCCCGAGACCACGGTCCTGCATAGCCTCTGACGCAGGGATTCCGTTCCTAGGAAGTAACGAGACGCACACCGCGGCCCCGGAAGCTCGGTCCCGCCAGAGAGCCAGCTGCTCTAGGGGCGGCCCTCCTGGAGGCTCCTATGCCCTGGACGGACGGACGGACGGAACAACGGGACAGCCAGCGGCATATGCATTTACGCATGCATTCAGGGCAAGAACCACATATAAACACTCCACATGTCCTGAGACCCATTAACTGGATATAACGTAACAATATGTAAGTGTTGAAAACATAAAAAACAATGTTGAGAGCGGGGAGGGGTTTGAAACATTTATAGAGCCAAGATATTCCAATATGCCTGGCAAAAGGCGCAAATTGTAACAATCATTATCCACTATCTCCAAGTGACGCAACTAGGGAGGTTGTCGTCCTACTTCTGTTACTTCATTCCTTCAAGCACATTTGGCGAGCACCTCCGATGGGCTGGGCTGGGTGCCGGCGGCACCGTGCCAGGCAGGAGGAAGTGCATTCCAGAGAGCACAGGGGGCAAAGCTCCGGGGACAGGTTGCAAGCACAGCCCTCCACCCCACCCGCAGGAGACAGAACCCGGAGGGGCAGCCGCTGGTGGGGGGGCGGGGGGTGCGAGAGGGGAAGAGCTGCTTTCACATTTCAAGCTTCCTTTTTAAAAAAAATATATTTTTATTGATTTCAGAAAGGAAGGGAGAGGGGGAGAGAGAAACATCAATGTAGAGAGAGAATCATGGATCGGCTTCCTCCTGCACGCCCCCTACTGGGGATCGAGCTCGCAACCCCGGGCATGTGCCCTCGACCAGAATCGAACCTGGGACCTTCCAGTCTGCAGGTCAACGCTCTATCCACTGAGCCAACTGGCTAGGGCAGTGGTCGGCAAACTCATTAGTCAACAGAGCCAAATATCAACAGTACAACGATTGAAATTTCTTTTGAGAGCCAAATTTTTTAAACTTAAACTATATAGGTAGGTACATTGTTATTAACTTAATTAGGGGACTCCTAAGGCTTAGGAAGAGCCACACTCAAGGGGCCAAAGAGCCGCGTGTGGCTCTCGAGCAGCAGTTTGCGGACCACGGGGCTAGGGCCATGCTTCCCTTTCTCATCTGCCCCTTCTCTCAGTCCCAGTCAGCCACCTCCTCTCACCCCCCTGGTCCCAACACAGACCTTGGTTGGGGGGGGCTTACCTCCTCTGAGGCCTGGGTGTCTGGAGCTGAGCTGCTGGGCAGGGCTGACGTGCTGGTTGTGGGTCACCACTTCCTGATGTTGCCAGTAACAGGAGAGACTCTGCAGACCCTGCCACAGTGGGGTCGGATCCCTCACACACACTTCCGCACAACCCCGCTCACCCAGGTAGGTAGCTAGCAGGCTTCGATGGGTACGAGGAAACAAAACACGCTTTTAAGAAGTTTCATCTGGGCCCTGGCTGGTTTGGCTCAGTGGATAGAGCGTCGCCGGACTGTGGAATGAAGGGTCCTGGGTTTGATTCTGGTCAAGAGCACATGCCCGGGTTGGGGACTCGATCCCCAGTGGGGGGCGTGCAGGAGGCAGCCAATCAGTGGTTCTCTCTCATCATGGATGTTTCTGTCTCTCCCTCTCCCTTCTTCTCTGAAACCCATAAAAATATATTAAAAAAAAAAAAGAAAGAAGAAGTTTCATTTGGGAGTTTGTCCTCTGACCCTGAGATGTCCCGCAGACAGGCAGGGACAGGCGCCCAGGCCCAAGAGGAAAAGAACCACAGAGAGGGTTCCAGCTGGACTCCCCCTTTCTCTCCCTTTGTGTTGGGGCCTGATCGGGGCTTCCTCTTGGGGGATCTCCGCAGTGGGAAGCAGGGGGGGGTGCAGTCCCGGCCAGCCCGGGCCCTGCTTCGTGGCCTGGGCAGGGTGGTCCCCCTTCTTTGGGAGGAGGTGACTAAAGGGAAGCCCTGGGGCACCCGGAGGAGAGAACAGGAAGGCCAGGCCCGGTTGGGGGTTGGGTCGGTTGGGTGGGGTCCCACCAGGTGCTCCAGGGCGTTTAGTGAGTGACTGGTAAGTGGCTTTGGTGACTACAGGGCCTGCACAGAGGATCGATTGATCAGTATCTGGGGGAGATGGGTGTCCCCTGAGAGCGGCAGGGAGGTGGCTTTTAACCCTCTCGGAGCCAGAGGCTCAGCGGAGTCTGGCAAGGCGGTGGGAACTGCCACCCCAGGGAGCAGATGGGGAAACTGAGGCCATGGCACCGCCCAGCAGTGAAGAGGGGTGGACTCCCAAACGGAGACCGGACCTCGCCGCGCACATCCCAGCTCCCAGTTCCCTCTGGAGGCTTCGAGGGAGAGGAGCCGCCGGAAGGGAAGGTCCCCGCGGATCCGGGTCCGAGAGGCACCGCGGAGGCCTGACTTCCCGACTTCCCAGCTCCTCCCCAGGCCGGTCCCCCACCTGGAGAGCCCTGCCTTCCCGGCTCCGTGCGCCCGAGGCCGCAGCATCTCCCGCCCCAGCAGCCTCGGGCCGGCGCCCCCCGCCGCACTTACGGGACCTGGAGGCGAGCACCGCGGGGCCAGGCTTCCCCCACCTCCTGCGCCCCAGACGCCGCGGCGCGGCTCACCCAGGTCGGCGCGCTGGGCGGGCGGGGCCCGCGCTGGGACCCCGGCCCCTCGCCCTCCGCCCCTCCCCCACACCAGCCCCTCTCCCTAGACCCCTCCCCCCTCTCCCCCGGCAGCCCCCGGACCCTCTCCCCCCGCGGCCCCCGGCCGAGTGGCGCTACCCGAGGGCTCGGGCGCGGCGCGCTCCGCAGAAGGGCTGGGGCTCCCGGTGCAGCGCGCCGCGCTCAACTTCGGGGCGCAGTGGGTGGAGGCGGCAGCGGCAGCGGCAGCGGCAGAGGGGCCGCCGCGCCCATCGGTGCACACTCACAGGTCCCCGAGCAGGTGGCCGGGCAGCGGCCGAGCCCTCCCGTCCCTCCCCACCTGGGCCGGGCCCACCCCGGCCGGCGTCCGGACCCCCGGCCGCGCACCCTCCGCGCGGCCCCGTACCTCCGGCTCCCGCGGCGGCCAAGGCTGCCCCGAGCCCCGCCGGCCGAGCGCCGCCCCTCCGGCCCGGGGCGTGGTCAGCGCCGCCCCGCCCGCCCGCGGTCGTCCCCGCTGGTTCCCGGCGCCCCGGCGCGCGCGGGGCTGGACGGGCACCGGCCGCGGCCCCCGGGCCAGAAGCAGGGAGCGCTCCCGTGCCTCCAGCCGCCTGCTCTGTGGGTGTATATCCCCATTCTCCCCGTTTAACAGATGAGGAAACTGAGGCAGGGCAGTGTCAGTGTTGGGGCGCCTCCCCTGGGTCCATCCCTGAACTCCCCGCCTGCGCCCCTGCCGCCTGCGCCCGCCGGTCCTTTCGCTCACTCTCCCCCGGTCGGTCCCTCCCGCCCGTCCTCTCGCTCAGGCGGTGACCGGGTGCCCAGGCCCCTGAGCTCACGGAGACACTCCATCCCCGCCCCGGAGCGGCCTGGCAACGAGGGGCGCCCGGGATGATCCTGAGAATGAATGAATCAGAAGAGAATCCCCCCAGGACCAGGCTGGCCCGGGCCTCCCGCGGGGCCTCCAGATCCGCCCTCAGTCATTCTCACCCCCTCCCACCGCAAAACTAAGACAGGAAGACAGAAACCCCGCTATGACCCCTCTGCCCCCAGCTACTGCTGCCTCACTTTCTCATTTTTTAAAAATATGTTTTTACTTCAGAGAGAGGAAAGGGAGAAGGAGAGGGAGAAAACATCAATGGTGAGAATCACTGATCGATCGGCTGCCTCCTGCACGCCCCTTACTGGGGTTCGAGCCTGCAACCCCGGCATGTTTCCTGACCAGGAATCAAACAGTGACCTCCTGGTTCATAGATGGCCACCCAACCACTGAGCCACCCAGGACGGGCACTTTCTCCTCTTTATAGCCAACGTCCTGCCAGAGTGGTCTCCAGCCGTCTGCAGGCTCTGTCCTCCCATCTTCCTATACCCACTCTCAAATAGCACCCCCCCACACTAATCCACCAAATCCGTCCCACGATGCCCGTCACCAGGTCCCTGCGAGTCTCCATCCTCCTCCCCTGACACCTCCAGGGTTTCAGGGCTGCTCCCTTCCTCCTTGGAGCACCTTCCTCTCCAGACACCACCCTGGTTTCTGCTCCTCCCCTTCCTCCTCCTCCCTGGCCACCCCCAGGCTCCTCTGACCCTGATGCTGTCGCGAGGTCCCCGGCTTTGGAGACACGATCAGGAGATGCCCACACGTGGCCAGCAGCCACGCATCTCACCTCACCCCTCGTCCACGTCTCAGGCTCTCCCCAGGCTGCATGCAGGGACCGCTCTCACGGCATTCCTGCCTCTCCCCCGTCCCTATCCTAACAGCACCAACGGGTGATGGTGGAACCGGGTCGGATCCCATCCCTCCTCAGCCCCAGCCCCACCAGTGGCTCCTCCCTGAACACAGACAACCTCTGATGCCTCCCACCTCATCCCTTCTTCTCCACCCCGACCCTCCCAGCCCCACCAGCCTCCTCGCTGTCTCTGCCTCGCCCTCCCCAGGGCCTCTCCTCTGGCTGCCTCCGGCCTGGCTCCCTCCCTCACCTCCTTCAGGTTCAAGCCTCAATGTCAGCGTCTCTGATCCCCCATTTCAACCCCAACACACCCACCCTGCACTCCCCAGGCCTGCCTTCCCGCCCTGGCCGTCCCCACACATGCGTCGCCCGCGTGACATGCTTTACATTATTTTCTTGCCGTCTCCTGTGCTAGAATGTGAGCTCTGTGGGGCAGGGGTTCCTGCTCCGTGCTCACTGCTGTGTCTCCCTCCTGGAACAGTGTCTGGAACAGAGTAGCGGGCACTCAGCAAACACATGTGGCACGAATAAACATGCGCCCTTTCTGTTCACGATACCTTTTCTTTTATATATATATATATATATATATATTTTTTATACAGAGAGGAAAGGAGAGAGATAGAGAGTCAGAAACATCGATGAGAGAGAAACATCGACCAGCTGCCTCCTGCACACTCCCCACTGGGGACGTGCTCGCAACCAAGGTACACGCCCCTGACCGGAACCGAACCCGGGACCCTTCAGTCCGCAGGCCGACGCTCTATCCACTGAGCCAAACCGGTTTCGGCACGATACCTTTTCTTTATGGTGGCTTTTTCGTTCCAATAAATGCATTTGAAAAGGAACCTTTGAATCACTGCCCTCCAGGGAGCACCATGACACTAAGCTAGCGTAGAAGGCAGCAGCAGAAATGACAATGAAGTGCCCAGCCGGCATGGCTCAGTGGCTGAGGGTTGACCTATGAACCAGGAGGTCAGGGTTCGATTCCCGATCAGGGCACATGCCCCAGGTTTGGGCTCGATCCCCAGTGTGGGGCGTGCAGGAGGCGGCCGATGCATGATTCTCTCTCATTAGGGATGTTTCTAGCTCTCTCTCCCCCTCTCCTTTCCTGGAGAAATGAGAATAAAGCAATGCTCTCAGGCCCTGGGGGTCCCGGTGCCCGTCTGAGGCCGAGCCCCTCCTGCCCGCTCCTTGCTGTAAAGCGAGAGTCGCAGGCGGGCAGAGAGGTCCCAGGTCAGACCGGCAGCCACTGGCCCCCGGACCCGCATCCAGCAGCGGAGAGAAGAGAACTGAGATGCTTTCTCCTGGGAGCCGCTGGGGCTGCGCCAGCCCCACACGCCCTTTCTGGCTCTGCCTCCAGCAGCTTGTCAAGCTCACTCCCAGGTCAGGCTGTCATCACTCCTACTTTACAGACAAAGAGACTGAGGCCAAGATGGGGACGTGCCCACGCCCCCAGGTCATGTTAAAGTGGGCAGAGATGGGAATTCCAGTTTCTCTGGCCCTAAGCCCTCAGCAGACCCTGAGGCCAAATCCCTTCTAGTCTGGTCTGGCCTGGCTCTTGGGGCGGTGTGGGGGAGGGAGGGCATGGAGGAAGAGGCCCTGCTCTGGCCTCAGTTTACCCATCTGTAAACTGGCCTCCCGTAGAAGTCTGGGGGACAGATGTGTCCTTTCTCCCGCATGGGCTCTGGGTGCGCGGTCTCTCTCCTGGACTAGGAGTGGGGGGTGTGCACACTAGAGCTTCCTGGTGTCTCGCCACCACACGAGGCGGTGGGGGGGGAGGGGGGGCAGTCTATCTCAGAACAAAGCCCACCCCGGGGAGGCCGGGCCAGGGGTCACCCAGAGGGGAACTGGGCACCCCAGGAGCCTCTGCCCCTGGGGCTGCCCCAGGGGCCCCCGGGCTTCCTATTACACAGTCGGTTTAACCAGATGAGCTAGATTCTTTTCCCTCCACAGAAGAACCCTAATGGACACTTTCCAACTGCCCGCACTTTCTGCTCCGCCCAGAAGCGGGGGAGCCCCTCCCTCTTCATAAAGGAGACGAGACAAGAAAAACTGAAAACACCCCCCCTCGTGACATCATGACCTCATGACCTCGAATTCTCTCCCCCTCAGCCAGCGCCCCGAAGGAGTCACCTCCTCGCCCGGCTCTGGTCCTTCCCTTTCTGGTCCCCTGCCTGCTCTCTGCTTCCTGTTCCGACTGAGCCCACGGGCCCGGCCAGTGTCATAGGGACCCGCCCGCTGGCGGCCAGATCCTGTCAATATCGGATAAATGACAAGATTGTTAACAAAACCACCCGCGGAAAGGACTTACTGTCAACTTCTGACCTGACTAGCATGGAGGTGTTCCAGGCTTTGTTTCTGGCAAGAGTGGCCCCAACGCCACAGCGACCCGCGGCTCAGGAGCATCCAACTGCCTTCTCCTCCCTCGAAAGGAGACCGGGATTCCTCGGAGCAAAGGAGGAAAACAAGGCCGGGAAGGGAGGCCACCCCCAGAAAGTTTGGGGGAGCAGAGGAGAGACAGGGAGCCATGGAAGCTTCCCCAATGCCAGCCAAGCTATAACGATGTGAGCATCAAAAATGAATCGCTGAAATAACGACAGTTGCTTTGAATAAATTCACCCCGTGAAAGGTTATGGCTGTAAGGAAACACCAAAAAGTTAGCGTAAGGCATTTGAAGAGAGTTGTAATATAAGAAAGATGACTGTCCTATGACTCTTTGGAATTTTTATTGACCTTAATCCGTTGGGATGTGTGTTTTGCTTCTTTTATTGTTGTTAACAAATTAGAGCCCTGGCTGGTGTGTTCAGTGGTTAGAGCGTCACCCCCCCCCCCCCCCACACACACACACACAGCGCCGAAGGGTCTCGGGTTCGATTCCCGGTCAAGGGCATGTACCTGGGTTGCAGGTTTGATCCCCGGTCTGGTCAGGGCGGGTGCAGGAGGCAACCACTCAATGTATCTCCCTCACATCAGAAACACATCAGTGTTTCTGACTCCCTCCTCCCGCTCCCTTCCACTCTCTCAGAAATCAATGGAAAAAATATCCTGGGGTGAGGATTAACAAAGAGGCAAACACAAATAGAGAGGAGTGTTTGCTTTCTCTGTGTAATCAAAAAGCATGAATTCGAAGCGGGGGGCTGGGGACTTGGGGTGCTGAGGGTCTGGGCAATGGCAGGGGGGGAGGGGGGAGGTGCTCTGGGGCAGGAACTGTGTCATGGAAAAGAAGGACAGACTCGTGGCCTCTGGTGGCTGCACAAAACCGCCCTGACGAGGCTCCTTCAGGCCCCAGGGCAGGGTCACCTTGGATGCCCAGGGGGAGGCGTCACCTAGGAAGTGTCCCCCTGGGAGGGGCAGCCACGCCCTGCGCCCTGCGTCCCAGCCGAGGACGGACGGAGGTCAAACATCCGCTTGTCTTGGGAGATTATTTATCACCAACAGGAGGGGGTTTCCAAATTCCACCAGCAAAGCCCTGGGGAGAAACCAAAACCAGCACAGCAGACTCCTGAGCAGGAATGGAGCCAGGCTGCCAGGCAGACACGGGGCCCTGCCTGGCATTCCAGAGCAGTTTTAAGAGCAAACTTTCCGAGGCATTGTTCTCGGATCAGCCCTCAGAAATCGGTAATTGCAGTTTACGTTGTCGAAAGGAATTCACGTAACCAAGTTTGGGATGGAGGCTGGAGCGCAGGGAAAACTGGATTCCTGCGTCTGCGTCTCCGTGATGAGGCAGAGGAGCTGCAGGGCAGCCCGG